GGGGGGGGGGGGGGGGGGGGGCGGTTGTACTAGACAGTCTCCAAGATCCCTTTCAGGTTAAGATTCTATAGTCTTAATAGGCATGATATAGTTATTTTTCTAACAATCCTTGAACTGAACAACATGGAAAATTCTCTAATGCTTCCAAGTCTGTCAAAATTCAGCCCTCTCCTTCCAAAATGATTCAAGTTTCAGTCAATCTGCATAAATATACCTTCAGTAATCAGGTACTTTCAGTACCCCAGACCTGACCCTAAACAGCTCATACTCCAATCTCTCTCCATACCAGGAAAAGGATCACCATACTGTCTTCTTTGCCACTTTGACCGAGATGGGATGGTTAATGCAACTTTAAGGCAACTTCCAGGCCCATCAAGTTGTGTTTAAAGGTGAGATATCTCAGAACTGAGGATGATATATGCCACTAGGGAAGAGAGACCATGGAGCAGAGTCTATTCCCAGAGATTCACCCAATTGTTCAAGCAAAGCCACACCTTAGGAGGACTCAGGAGTTAATCAGAAAGAGATAGACCCAAAGAGAGGCTCCTGGAAGGATCTTTATAATCCTTTGTGTTGACAGACAATGGGTTTTTCCCCCTCTCTTTGCAAAACCATTCTCTATTACTTTGCCGGGGGAGGGGTTTGGGAAGAAAGTGTGGAAAAGCCCCATATCATAAAACCAGGAGCAATTTAAAAGAAAGAGATGGTGCAAGCACATAATTGTTGAAAACACGGCTCTGGAAAAGCTAGAATGACTTGGCAATGAGGCTAGAATACAGCAACGTGGCAACCAAAGCTCAGCACACACCCAAAGAACTGAACCCCCACTCTCCTCCTCTCATCCCAGGGGCCCTCAGCCCTTCCCAAGGCTACTAGTCACTATCTCAGCTCTTCTAGACTCAGGCAGTCCTAGGGAGATGGGTCTGGGCTAAGGGACTCAAGGCAGGGTGGTCACCACGCCTTCCTGAGCAAGGCAAGGGCCCCAGCAGCCATTTGGCATGACTTGCACAAAAGCAAGCAGAACTCATTAGTCAGGCACACCCCTCCCTCACCCCTCCCTCTTGGGCATCCGGCCCCCTAGGCCCCACTCCCAGGAGGCTTCTGCTCTTCTCATAACAGCCAGTGGGGTGGAGACCAGATCCCAGAATCAAGCACCACTCTAGAAAGGTGTGGCCCCACGGGAAAGAACCCACACTGCACAGAACAATCCAGAGGGGATAGAGAGGCATTAAGTAATGGGCAGGGCAGGGATTTGGCGGGTGGAAAGGAAAGAGAAGCCAGTCCTTTCCCCCAGGAGATGGTGGAGGCCTTTCCTTATACTGGCGCCTAGTGAAGTGTTGGCGCTCCTGGGTAAAAGCAAGTAGTCTCGATGATGGGTCCCTCCACAATTCTCTCCTCACCTCCTAGTGGGAAACAGCTGGAGCCGGTGGGGAGGCTTTGGGAAAGATTAGTGGGGGTATGGGATCCGCCCAGAGTGGCTCCCTCCCTCTTCCCCGATTCTCTGTTCCCCTCTAGGACAGTGGTAGTCTTGTCCCAGAAAGACGCCAATTCCTGGGCTAGCGGAGGTGTTCTCCTCTGGACGAGAGTTCTCTCCCCTGCGCCCACGGCCCATCAGGGGAAAGGAGAGACCCTGAGCCCCCAACGAACCCTTCCCCACTGTCGCATCCCCGACGCAGGGAACTAGAAACTGAGAAAGAGGCCGGCCTCGCCCTGGCCGCAGCTCTATCCTGGATACCTCTTTATCCCCGGGGGCGCGCCAGACCAGGACCCCACTCCCGTCCCCTCCACGTCCCGGGCCATGGCGGAAGGTGCGTCGTCCCAGGCGGGTTGATGGCGGGCGACGCGGATCAGCTAGAGCCCCCAGGGTCAACAGCGCCCACCCCTGGCACTCACCGTCTTGGGCATGGTGGCAGCAAAGGCGGCGGAGTTGGCGAAGTTTGGCTGGGAACTGTCGGACAGCGTTGAGCACGCAGTACACACGGTTCGGACTCCGCAGGCCGGGGGCTCGGACTGGGTCCCTCTCTGGCGTCCGGGCGACTGCTCGGCTTCCTGCTAACGGGCCACGACTTCACAAACCCCACCCAGGAAAGAACCGCCCCCGTCGCGCCGCAAGCTCCTTTATGTGGCCCGGCTTCCGCACCGCTCCCCGCCCTCGCGCCCGCCTCCACGCCGGCCGCCGGCCTCGCCCCGCCCAGCCCAGCCGGGCCATGCCGGCCACGTGGGGGACCAGGCTGGGCCTGGGCGGTCCAAGGGGGGCTCCCACCCCAGACCCAGGTCCACCCTGCTCCTCTCCCACACCCGTCACAACCCCTAACCCTCCATGTCTCAGCCATCCGGCCCCACCCCCGCTCAGGACCAGACTGGGGGCGCACCCTGGCAGATGCTTATGCAGCCCCTGACTGCAACTTTCCACTAACGGAGAGCTCAGTACCTATCCAATCTGCCCGTTCACTACTCTCAAGACAGCCTTGACTCTTAGAAAGTTCCGCCAGTGTATATCTGAACTCCTTTTCTCTGCAGTTTCCACCGGTGGATCTTAGCTCTGCTCCCTAGGGCCACAGAGATCCCCTGCCATCCTTAACAGCTTCCCAGAGATCTGAGGATCCCAGTCCCCCCGGAGACTTCTCTTATCTTGGTTAAAATGCCTCAGCTCACTTCATCCATTCTATTCGTCGTATTTCCACCCCAATCCTTGCTCAAGTCCTCATTTTCATCAGAACTGAGCTCCTTTTCCACATATCTGTCCTCTATTCACCTTCCTTCCTCCAAATCCCAGTCTCCACCTTCCTCAATCCGTGCCCTAGTCCTTTAGCTCCTCTCCCAACACTTTCTGTACTTTCTGCTGAGGCTATAATTCCCTTAGGTTAGATGCATCCCTCCACCCCCAATCCACTCCCTTGGGGTGTGTCTGCCAGCTCCCATTCTACTTCTTGTCATGGTCATAGAATCTCAAGATGGCAGTATTCTAGACTAACAGTCATTTGGTTAAACCACTCTGAGCTTTAGTTTGAAAGTGACTGGCTGCTGGGCCGGCCCGTGGCTCACTCGGGAGAGTGTGGTGCTAACAACACCAAGGCCCCGGGTTCGGATCCTATATAGGGACGGCCGGTTAGCTCACTGGGTGAGCGTGGTGCTGACAACACCAAGTCAAGGGTTAAGATCCCCTTACCGGTCATCTTTTTAAAAAAAAAAAAAGAAAAAAAAAAGAAAGTGACTGGCTGTATTAGTCAGTTTCTGTTGCTTATAACAAAATACCTGGAACTAGGTAATTTATAAAGAAAATTAAATTTATTGCTTACAATTTCAGAGGCTAGGAAGTCGAAAGTCCAGGGAACACATCTGGTGAAGGCTTTCTTTGGTGGTGACTTCAGTGACAGTATGGTATCACATTGCAAAAATGGTGGAGCAGAGAGACCAGAGAGAGACTAACCTCTCATATGCTCTACTTTTAAAGCCCTCGGAACCATGCCCCTGACCACCATTTTTAATCCATTCACTAGAGCATGGCCTTAACAATCTAATCACCTCTTCAAGGCTCCTCCTTTCAATTACCATAATAGGATTTCCCACCCTCAACAGTTACAGTCAATTAGGTTGGAGTCTACAACAAAGGCCACAGTCCTTTTTTCTCCTCTCCACTGGCAACTATGCAGAAACATGGTCTGAGGCTTCCAGTCAAGACAGTGGAATAGACAGTCCCAAGCATCACTCTCTACCACAAATCAAACAATTCACAACTATTAAAAAGCAACAGCAGCCAAGCTGGGACCACTAGAGCTCAGGAGAAGACGAGGAGAGACCTATGGAGTGCATGAAGGCAGGAGAAGCCATGATGAGAGAAAGAAAGGATCTCTCCTACCATTTCGAGCCCAGTCAAGGCTGGAGCTGGTGAGCGCACAGAGCAAGAGCTGGCAAAAGCCACAGCTGTGCCCTTCGTATGAAGTTGCTTAGAGGCAGCATGGGAGAAGAGGGCTTTGGTGGCCCTCAGGCCAGCAAGGCCACTAACAGTTCCTGTGGACCCACATAGGAGCGAGGGGCCACAGACAACTGAAAAAAGGAGCCACTCAAGGCAATGAGTCATCTCAAGGGACTGGTGTACTGCCTGTCCTATGGGAAGTGTTTGGAGTAAAAGCAGTGAGAGACGGGCTACTGGAGGAACATGGGGGCACAACACGGACAAGCTGATCTGCCCGCCAGTCAGCACAGGCCCACTCTGTGTAGACTGGTCAGGAATATAGAACTGTAGGGGTACAGTTTGCTGAAAAGACTCAGGTCCAGACCAGAGTTTCTACACAACCCAGGTGTACTAGACCTCACGAGACCCACAAGTACCTACAAAGTCAACCTTTTAAAACCTGAGCTGCACAAAAAGCCCTCCCCAGGGAATCGGCACCAAAGCAGCGATTTAGCTCAACCACAGGGCTCAAGTGCTGGTCCCCACAGGAAGTTCCCCCATTTTAGGAGTAAGCAAAGGACAACAAATTAGTTCCAGTGCAGAGTTTAAGTGGTGATAACAGTGAATAATGCAACACAAAAGTGAAAGAAAAAAACAAAATACCCACAGACCAGAGACAAAGTTTGATATTAACAAGGAAAAGTCTCACTTCACCAAAGAACACCTATAAAACCTAGAAGGACCAGAAGCCCCCTGGGCCCCCAAGCCAGGGAGAGAGGAGGGCCAGGGGCCTAACAAGCCCCCCAACACCCACAACCAGCTCAGCAACAACCACCAAGCTGCCACAGGAAGCACCCCAGGCCCCCAAATCAGGACAGTGGGGTGCCGAGGGCCTTGGCCACGCCCTCTTGACAGTCACAACCAGCCCAGCGATGACCACTGAGCCTCTGCAGGAAACACCTCAGGATCTGGAGCCAGGGCAGTGGGGGACCGAGGGCTTCAGTCACACCCCTGACATTTACAACCAGCCCAGCAATGACCACAGATCCACCGCTAGAAGCTCCCTGGTCCTCCAAGTCAGGGTGGTGGGGTCTGAGGGCTTCAGTCACACCCCTGTGACATCTGCATTCAGGTCAGCAAAGATCAAGCCACCACTGGAAGCCCCCTGCTCTCCCCTCTGGGAGTGAGGGGGAGTGTCATTGGCCTTAACCATGCCCTCCCTCTTTCCTCCTTCTCCCACCCTATTTCCTTCCCCCTTCCCTGCTCCCACTCCCACCCAACTGCTCCGCAACAACATCTTAGAATGTAAAAACAAATGGAGCCAGGGACTGTCCCCTCCTCCTGCATCCAGGCAAGGAGCATGCCAAAAATACCACTTCCATGTGGGTGGCCCACCACAGCCACCACAATAGCCACAGCTGCTACAAAAGCAGCTAGACACCACAATCACCATGCAGATGGCCCGCCAGCCACTCAAGTGCATTGACACAAGGAGAGTCACCAGTGGAGACCAAAGAAAAGAAGAGGATGTCTCTCTCCATAAAGCCCATTCCAGAGCGATAGAAGAAGCATCTACTCTATGATAATAGTAGGGGACCTGAACACACCTCTCTCAGCACTGGACAGATCATCTAGGCAACAAATCAACAGAGTAACTGTACTCTTTCAGAAGGAGGGAAGAAATCTAGGGCTATCAGAGGTGGGGGGGGATGGGGAGAGATTTGATAAGGGGCAAAAAGAATAAGCATGATTTGTAATAGTATATATGCTAATAATATTGATTTGATCAACATATGTCAATGTTGAACCCCCAAAATATGTATAATCAATTATGGTTCAATAAAAAATAAAAATAAATTTAAAAAGAATCATGGTCTGAGTGCCTTTGTGAGGGATGACAAGCCAGCTTGGGACAGTGGAAAGGACATTTGAGAGGGGTGGTCACAATTGGCTTCTACTCTGTAGCTCTGCCATTAGCTCACCCTGTGACCACTGTGTACCTTTGGGTAAGTCCCTCCCCCTCTCTGGGCTTGAGTTTCTTCTTCTGTAACAAGAAAGTACTAGACTCCTAGGCTACCAAGTTCCTTCCCACTCTGACATAAGAGGATGAGAAAGGAAGTACACTCCCTAGGATGATAGATGAGCCTAGCAGGGTTGCATAAGGGCTGATCTTGCATTTGCACTCAGGAACTAGTAGTCCTATTCCCTCCTCTGCTTTTCCAGCTTAACAGAGCCCATGAATCAATGTGCCTCAGTTTCTCTCACTGCTGCCAATATTCATTGATGTGTGCTAGGGTAAACAAAGTTCCCTGCCAAGACCATTTCCTTGAGCTGAACATTTGTCCAGAGAAAGAGCAGCACTCCCTGGAAAGTTCAAACAGTCTCCTTGAGCAGTTGTGCTGAGGAAAAGTAGCTCTCACTAGAAAGCCTTAGCAACAGGGGTAGCAGTGGCAGCCAGTCAGACTCCTTGATACTGCCATGGCCCTTTTATTCTCGAGAAGTTCAAGGAACTCACTGATTCCTTCATCCATATTCACCTAGAGCCCACAGGGGTCTGGCACTGGACTAAATGTCTAAAGGGTTTGAAAGAAAAGTTGATTGGAGACTCCGACTTTCTGGAAAGTGGAAACTCCCTGTATGTCACTCCCCACCTGCCATGCCAACCCCTTCCCCCCCTCCCTCAGACATACAGAAGAGCTGGATAGAGAATGTCAAGCTGCTGAACACACTACTGAAAAGGAAAGAGGAGTGGAGGGTGGGTGTCAGAGGGAGGGGGAGCTAAGAAAGTAGGGGGAAAGAGGGGCTGAGTGAGGAAGCTAGGGTTGGACCTAAGAGGAGAAGTGTGGGAAATGGAGGAAACAGAACATCAGAGACTGTGAAGTCCAGCCCTCAGCCCAGGTCAGGGGAGAAGAAAGAAGAAAGGACTTACCCAAGGCCAGATAACTAATGTGGAGAATGGATTCAAGGAGAGACAGAGGAGACAAAGAGCTCAGTTAGGAAGCTGTTGCAATAACACAAGCAAGAAATTTTGAGGGCTAGAACCAGGGAAGTAGTGCTGTCCTCTCCATTTCACCAGACAGAATCTGCTTATGGTCATTATGGTCAAGCAGCTGGGCATTGCTTGGAGGCTAGACCCAAAACCCTCTTGCTAGGAGGGACTCATCTCTGTTAGCCCCGTCTC